ATATATATATATATATATATATATATCCCTACTTTATATATATATATATATCACGATACGTTAAAAGCAAAGTACCAACAGGCGCACAATAAACCACCAATAATATACCACCAAGAGCTTCTAACACATTTTATAATATGTATATATATCAGAAACAGATAAGGGGGAATAAGGGGATAAGAAAGGGATAATAGGGACCCTATTATCTACTTCTAATATATATATAATACGTATTACAAGCTCTTCATATCACCTATATCCTTCCGTTAAGAATGCCAGAGATAAACCACATGTTGGAATATTATCTCCGCTGTTCACACGCCCTTCCCCGGTGGCAAGACGAAGTACACATTCGCGGTCGCATTCTTACAACCAGGCCTGCGTTCTTTCATTGAATAGGGAGTGCTGTGCTCCTGACCCCGAGTGCATAGTACCGCACACGATATACGCACGCTACATGGAAGTATCTCCATCCAGCTCTTATATCCAGATATATCACGGCATATTACGTCATGCACATGCATGATATACACGTGCAATATCGCGTTACGTACACGCTATGCACACGATGTGTACACGTTGTGTCACGCTACATCGCGCTACATAAACCACGCTACATCACGCTACATAAACCACGCTACATCACGCTACATCACGCTACATAAACCACGCTACATCACGCTACATAAACCACGCTACATCACGCTACATAAACCACGCTACATCACGCTACGTAAACCACGCTACATCACGCTACATAAACCACGCTACATCACGCTACATAAACCACGCTACATCACGCTACATCAGACTATACACACGCTTTCTATGTGAGACGTCATTCTATATGCAGTTCTATCGTGTTACACGCACGCTATATCCTGCTATACACATACATACACACACACACACACGCTTCTCTTTCCTTTCTGATATGGATCGTATGAGTGAAGGGGGGAGGGTAAACAATATTTTAGAATTAAGTAAGTATATGTGGCTGAATTTGCTCTTAAAAGTTGTTCCTACGCGTTTTTCCCCGAGCAACGCCGGGTACCAGGCTAGTATAAATATATATATGTATATATATATGTATATATATATATATATATATATATATATATATATATATATATATATATATATATATATATATATATATATATATATATATATATATATATATATATATATATATATATATATATATATATATATATATATATATATATATATATATATATATATATATATATATATATATATATATATATATATATATATATAGTATATATATATATATATATATATATATATATATATATATATATAATTATATATGCGTATATATGTATACGTGTGTGCGTGTGGCATAGAAAGTTCGGTAGCAACGTTTTCCTTTTATTCCACGCACGCAGCAAAGTGAAAAACCCCCAGATTGACCTAATCAGTGGCGCGTGTGTATACAGAGCTCGCTCTCGGAATTCCGCGCTATTCACGAATGCAGGCCCCGCGAACAATTGCGCGTCGCGGCAGGTCCGCGAGCCGTAGTAAGGCACTATTGACCCACATCGCGTATCGTGCCGTCGCCTCAAGCCCCGCGCGTCGGCCGAGCGCGTGCGTTCATGCAACGCGAAAGACATTCGGCGAACGACTCGGGCGTGCTGGCAGACAGTCACACGGCCTAAGCCGCAGTTTATACACCGAAAGCGTAACTATCATAAAGCCAGCGGGCCATGAGAAATTTATTACACGTCGCGAGAAAAGCTTATACGCTCCACCGGGTCGCGTGACAAAGATATCGTGTATGCCCGCCCGTTCCTCCACCCATGCACTGATGAAATTAGAACTCCATTATTATTTTGTCATGTCTCCGACCAGTTCGTGATATTAGATTCATTATGCTCTATAAACTGCTATATTTTAGACGATAATGAAACCATCTGAATTATATATCTACGGATTCGCTTGGACGCGCACTTTCGTTCTATTCACACGCGTGTGCGCCGGCGTGCGTGGATGCGTGTGTGTGTGCGTGCGTGCGTGCGTGCGTGTGTGCGTGCGTGCGTGCGTGCGTGCGCGTGTGTATGAGCTTGCGTGTATTAGCTTGCGTATTTCGGCTTATGTTGTGTTTTTTGTCTATGTAGGTTGTTTCTACATCTATGTGATGGCTTGTACATGTGTGAGTTTTCCTATACGATAGCTGGCGTACGCGCGTTTGTGCGTGCGTGCGTGCGTGCGTGCGTGCGTGCGCGCGTGACTGCGTGCGCGCGTGCGTGCGTGCGTGCGTGCGTGGGTGGGTGTCTGCCTACGACAGTACATGTTACGGAATCATAACCACTTTATTTTACTATTATAGATAGCGGCCATTAATGTGGAGGCGCAAGATCGGTTCTTGCCGATGGTGGAACCGGCAAATCCCATGGAAGGTAAATTATTCAACTGTAATGCTCGTAGTAAAGGTACGACGCTGCGTATCATGCAGTAATAGTGGAAGCATTGCCGCTGGGGTCGCCCTGTTTTTTCCGCAATTTGTTCAGCATTACTGTTAGCGCAAGTTACCCGCGGGCCACATGTCTGCTCTGGTGGATAGTTGTCGTAATACCATCAGTTAGTTACAGAGTTATTAGTTACTTCACGGGTTCATTAACTAATGATTATTAAATGGAGCAAAGACAATTATGTACTGTGACATAATTAACTATTATTAATGTACTAATAAACTGTTAATTATGTAACAAATATATAGTATTAGAACAGCAGAATATCCATTGCGCTGGGTTGTACGGAATTACGGAATATATATATATTTATATATATATATATATATATATATAATTATTGCATGATATGATATCATTTAATATTCGCCTTGAAGGACAATTGTAGGCGAATACACAAATTCCAAGACTATAGAGTAAACATAGATTGCGTGCTCAGCGGGCATCATTGCGTTACGTTTCATAGCACGTGACATGCTTAGCACCAATTACAGTGTCGTATTGTTAAAACTATATAGTATCAGGAGTGTATCAATATTGATACACTCCTGATAGTATATATATATATATATATATATATATATAAT